AATATATTAAAAAGTGAAATGTGAATGTGGTGAAGAAATTGTTAAAACATATTTGGAAAAACAAGGAAATCTCTCTTCGTAGAAAACGATTGCATAAATTTAAAAGGGGTTTTACATGTAAAGAAGAGAAATCATTTATGAATTTCATGAAAATAAAACTAATAATGGTGATTATAATTTTAATGTAAAAATGTATTAGTGATTACTATGATAAAATTAGAAATGAAAGTTATGAAAAAAATGGAATGTGAATGTTGATTAAAGGTTGTTAAATCATACCTTGAAGAACACCAAAAATATTTTGCATATATATAAAATACATGGTGAAAATATAAAATGTTAATGAAAATTGGACGATCTAATTGATGAAGAAAAAGAAAAATTGAGACTTTTTGTATCACAAAAATTAGATATTCCTTTAATTATAGGTTTTCCATTCTTTGATGCATCTTCTTGAATATTGACTGCTTCAGTTTTTGTTTCACATTTTAAACAGTATATAATGGATGAAATACCAAGGCTAAATATTTTCTGATGTTAATTGGAGTTGACTAGTAAGACTGCAATAAACAAATTATTGATCCCTTTGTACATACGTATAGAGAATGAGCAAAAGTTTTCAAAGAACCTAAGTATGAAAAATTACAAGAGAACTTTAATGATATAGATGCAGATATCTGAAATGTTAATATGAAAGTAATGTACAATACTTGTATGAAAGTTAATCATGTATTTTATAAGTTAAGATGTTTCAATATTAGTGATGACAGTTTATTTAGAAACGTGAATAATCAGCTTATGGAGTCTAATTGAATAGAAAATACACAGGAATTGTATGCTAACTGAAATGTCCCGTTAAATATTGTGAATACACAATTAGTGTTTTGTATAACTACGTAAACTGAAAGAAGTATGTTTACTGACTTTTAAATTCAATGACATACAAAAGTTCTGGTTAAAGTATGGTGAACATTAAATTTATGTAGAAAATATATGATTATGTAAAGTTTTAACCATTTATTTTCAATAGTAAGAATAATGTAAATACATAAGTAGTGATAGTGTATTATAATTGTCTTATTCAACTTTTGTTTTCATAAGATTTTTCTGCCATATTGATCACCCTTTTCTTTTGATAAAGCTTTGAGTCATATAGAGTGTTCTGTATTCAAATTAAAACATTATCTGTTTTAGTGAACATAAAAGGTCAAAATCTTTCTAAACCTGACATCCTGCCCCATATATTTTCTAAAACCAAAGTTTTTCGAGTCGTTAAGTGGTCTTGAATAGGCTGAAAGAGACCAAGCAAACATATAGACTATATATAGTTTGTAAGAAACAAGATCTAGACGAAGAAGTAACAATGCTAATTCTTATTTACATAGATCCTTTAAACTATAGTGACTTACAAAACTAAACATGAAAATAAGTGTCCTTTTCAGGACAAACAGATGTTAGTTATAGAAATGAGAAACGTCAGAAAAATCAAAATCCAGACTATTAGCTCACATCATTTGTATGTGTGGCCGGATGATGACCTTTGTGATCTTGACATCAGATAGATGTTTATCTCAATGCCTATTGAAGAAGAAAGTAAAATCACAAAGGTTTATGAATTTTAATTGTATATAACTTCAAGTGAATGGTAAGTGTTGCTATTTTAAATAGATCATATAACAGTAAAGTTAAACAAGTAAGTTGTTCATTTATTATATTTAGTTGCACCAAAATGATATGAATGAAATTATAAATAGAGGGCTTACATAACAGTATGATTTAAGTCAGACATTATAAAATGCATTATATCTGAATATATACTTATAAAATGAAACTGTATGTTAGATTATATAGATAATTAAATAAGTGTTCTTTTCAGGAGTATAAAATAATATAAAATAAATTACTGGTGATAATAACTGCCTCATTCAAATAATAGATGATAAAACTGATATATATTATAACAGTTGTCTCGTTGACTTGTGAAAGCAAAACAACAGGTGTGTTAAAATCCCACGGAACACTGTCTGCCTAAAGTAACATTATCCTTAGTAAGACATAATGATAGCATCTTCGGCCCATAGAAACATTGTAAACCTTTAAAAGTGAAAAATGTCATAATTAAATCTAGACATTTGAAATCAAATTTCCCTTAATAACACAATGCGTATATAGAATCTTAATAATAGCATCCACCTTTGTAAGGTACGCACAATATACCTAGTTAGACCATTCGCCTAAAGAAACACATCCACCTTTGTAAAATGTATACACTAAATACATATACATAAGTTGAAATCCGTATACAATCACATGGGACTATCTGCCTCTCTAAAACATACATAATCCGCCTAGTAACGCCTATAGAAAGCTTATTAACAATATTCGCCTATAATAACAGTATCCCAGAACTTTGATAATGCCATCTGCCTATAGAACCTTAATAACACCATCCGAATATAGAAAAAACATCCGCTTATAAACCTTAGTAACACAATCCGCTTATAGTAACAGGCCCTCTGGTATTGAACTATATCACCTCTCCCTAAGATAGACACACCCTTTGATTCCACTTCGTGGAACTATGACGTTACACCTAGCAATGCTCTCTCTGTCTTTAGCCTGTCTAAGCAACGCGCCATCTGGTGACACGTTTTGGATCTATAGTGTCATCATCTCTGATGTTTATTACGTCATTGTTTCTGGTGTTTATGGCGTTCATGTTTTTTGGTTTCTATGACGCCATCGTCTCTTTCCCTCCCCATTGCCTGAGGTCGACACACTTGTGTCGCTCTCTGGCGGCGTAGCTAGCACGCTCAGGGATAACCACTAGTGTTACATATGTCATAAACACGACATCTGATAAAATTATAAACATTTACATTGTTCCTCAATTTCAAGATAAGGAAAATAACCAATCAGAAAATAGTATGATTTTTGATAGTCTTATATATTAAGAACGTGGGTTAGGATTAATAATGATTAATATCCATCTGAAGATTACAATTTTTCGTTCAAATATGGAGAATTAGATTATTCGAGATTCGTTAATACCTGGGTTAATCAATATCAATACAAAACCTGGATGTTTATTAAGCTATACTAATTACAGAAGATTATGTCCAATAATTTCTTTCAACGTTTCAAACCACGAATTATGTAATAATTTGAAGATTGTGTTCTTCTGGCAACTAAGACGAACTTTGAGAAAACTATGTAGATTTTATTACTTATTAATTGAAAAGAGAAAAGGAATGATGAATATATTTAATAAACGTTTTGATATCATGGGAACTCTTTAATAACAATCAATGAGTTTTTGGTTTCCATGTAAAGAAGTATCTTTGAATTCAATAGGTCCACCTAAAAATGGTTTTAATTAAATTAATTGATGAAAGCAGTTGTTATATTAATAAAGAAGCAGCTGATAATAATTATGCTATAAAATGATCGTTAATGGAAGAATATGTTCATAGTAAAACCAAAATCGATGACAAACGTTTTAATAATGTTATATATGTATCTAAAGCATTTTATTAGTAAATAATAATTTTGATGCTGATGAGAGAAATATAAAGAACTAAAGGAACCGACAAAAGAAACTGATGCAGTCAACAAAAACTATGTAAATAAAAAAATTATTGACCGAATCGAAGATTTCAATAAAACATTGTATACTAATATGAGTGCATTAAAAGGAAATCCGAAAGAGTCAATTGATAATACTAATTTAAATACTATTAATTTTAATACTGAAACTGCGAGAAAATCAAAATACTTGGAAAATAATTCATTGATACTGAATAAAGATAACAAAATTTGATGCAAATAAAAATATCATAACAACTTTAATAGGACCGTATGTAGATGAAGGTGTAGATGATATAAACTATTTAATCAAACATTTTACTATTTCAGAAATTAATAAAAACATAGCAGAGTTTGATTCTTATGCGAATTTCAAAATAGATTATATAATTAGAAATTTTCCAATTTATGCTATTGGGTTTTTAGCGAATAATATTTTTTTATTAAAAGAACGACTAATTCTGATTTCATAGATATGAATATGATGCTCAAAAGAGACGCGTATTTGAAAATTATTTTAGGATTTGGAACACGAAAGTTAAGTTTTCCTTTTAAGTTAAAAATTGGGGGAAAAGAAAATAGATCTATTTCAAATATATGAAAATACCTATTCATCGAACGTAGTTTTCTTAATGCACATAAAAATGAAAATATTCAGTTAATTCTCACCACTGTTAATCTATTCAGGGGACAGCCTGCATATTTTGAAATACAAAAATATATGTAACTACCCCCAAAAAATGACGAAGGATTGCTAGATACTTTCATTATAGCTACGAGCATTTTGTAACAACTTTTGTTGTTTACTATTTTCTATATTTTCTTTACATTGTTACGATTTCTCCTCACAATTTTCGGTTTTGTCCCTTCCAAAGGGGTGGGATGGAGCAGAACTATTTGTAATTTATCTAGGAGGTATTTACCTCACTTTGGTCTCCAAATTAGGGGCAGAAACCTATTGAGCTAATATCGTTGTTTTGATTGAATATGCAAAATTTTATCATTTAGAAAAATATTTTTTACATTTTTGGATACTTTTTACATTTTGTGTTGTGTTTTAAAGGGAACTCCTTATCATTTGAAAATATTGTCCCTCCAAGTGAACACAGAAACCTCATACTCCTAATGGGGAAGCAAAATTGAGAGACCTGAAAGGAAGAGCAATGAAAAAAAAAACTGATGTTTGTCATTTTTTAGCGTTTTTGAGACATTTTATGATAACTTTCGGCTATTATGATTATTTTTTTATGTTTTGAGGTTGTTTTTTCTTGTTTTTTTAACATTTTTCATTTTCTTAATCTGTATACCTTTAGTTTAAGTGCAGCAGATACCATTTAAATACACTTCTTAGTGGATAAACTTCTTCGTGTAAATAAGATTTTGCAAAAGGCAATTTTCAAAATTAACTTTCTTTATTCACTGATTCAACAGTATTATACAATGCTTATATTATTCGATGATGTCGAATAAGATACAAAATTCCCATCAAAACGATATTTTGCAATAGGTTTACCATCAAATATTGAGAATAGAAATATTCAGAATGTGTCCGAATATTCACTACTTGACACTAAAGGATGCTAATTAAAGATGAAATTAATGATACGCCATTAACGAAAAACATCACATCAATGTCACTTCAAGCATCTAAAGATGAATGAGTGTTGGATGTCACAGAGAAGTTGATAATAAAACCGCAGAGTCTAGAGGTACAGGAATATTGTTCAGTTATAAGGTTTTGATTAAATTTTTAATTAGGATCATTCTTTTTTAAAATTTTCTCTGTGAATAAACGATTTTCAGTAACATTCAATTTCATTCAGGGTAATTTCAAAAAGAGGTTTCTTTAAATCTGAACAAAAGTAGCCTTTGACATGACGTCTGATTCTTTCCCTTAAGCGAAGCAACCACTTCACATTTACACAAGTGCACAGGAAACGGTTATCTGCAATTGAAAAAAGAAACCTAGTAAATAGCTTATATTATGTATGCTAGCCATTATAAATTCGAAAATACTTAAAGGTAATAACAATTGATGGAATAGAAAGCTTAGAATACGTAATAGTATTGAACCTTTCAAGTTCTAAAATTCTTCCAAAGGCTAAAATATATGATATATAAGGTAGGCGTAAACCAATATCATATTTACCAATGAAGTAGTAACATAAGACCTTTGTTTGCTTTTAAGCACAAAGCTACATAATGAGCTATCTGTTCTGTGCCCACAGCGAGTATCGAAACCAGATGCTTAATGTTGTAAGTCCTTAGACTTAACACTGAGCCAAGGGGGTCGATAAGAAAAGCAACTGAAATTTATACTATTTCTATATTACCTTGACCTTGTCATCTGTAGGTAACATAATAATTCATTGTCACGTGACTACTGCTGTAAATTTCTCTTGTCATTTGTTTTTTACTTTTCCAAACATTTTCGTGAACATAACAATAACGGTTTTCCAAAGCTCGTTTAAGAAAACCAAATATCTAGCAATATGTTGGTGCCGCAGCAGAACACCACAGCCTCAGAATGGTATGGTCGAACTATCGCATGCATATGGTGGGTTTCATTGTTTCAGAGTCTGACTGCGTACATATCAAGAACCTCTTCCGAAAATTAGGGAAAAAAAACAACATTTTGATATTTGTATTTATTTAGGCTCAACACATTTCGAGAATATAGTTTATCCCCAAAGTTATTTTGCTGCTATTATTATTCTGGTAACTGCTTTAATATATGAATATGAATGTAGTTTTTTTAAAAGAAAATATCATACTGTTTTCACAAATGTGTTTTTTCATCAACATCTGCTTGTATCTCCTGTAATTTCTACCTATTCTTGACTTCTGCCTCACATTTACCATCCTTAGTTATCAGTTGCCCCAAGAAGACAAACTTGTCCACTTGCTCTATTGTATGACCATTCACTTTGATGTTGACTCTAACTTTTTCTTTTACATCTCTCCTCACAACCATGGTTTTATATTTTTATGTTAATGCTCAACCCATACTCTAAACTTCTTCTAAGTTCATTATTCTTTGTAATTCTTCCTTTGACTCTATCAATATCGCTGTATCGTGAGCGCACCTCAGTACCACTATATTAACCCTTCCAATTCTTATTCCTGGGAGATCATCTATCTCTCTAAATATCTGTTCTGTGTAAAGGTTGGATAGCTGTGGTGAAAGTATGCAACCTTAACACTGAAAGTATCTAACTGACTTCCTCTAGATGAATACTTGCTTTTTACTCCAAGTACAGGTTCTGGATGAATCTCACATCTCTGCTGTTTATATTACACTTGGATAACACATCTATTATCTTTTGATGGTACACCCTTTCAAAAGCTTTCCCATAGTCAATGAAGCATATATATATACTCTTGTTCACTTCGAGGTAATTATCAAAGATTCCACATTCCTTCTCATGATAAATCAGGTATGTATGAAACACAAGCGCTTACTTATAAGCATCTAGAAAATAAAATAATGGGTCTGAATTACATCCGGTTTCAATTTTCACCTCTTCAGTTTAATTTTTAACACCATGGAACTATAAACAAATTAGTGAATAGTCTACTTGATTCGAAAACAAATGTTAACCAATTTTTATGCTATTTATTCTAGTCTGAAAACACCCTATTTTAGTAAACCTTTAATATGAAAGGTGTCAAGTATTGTTGTGTCCGTAATAGCTGCCCCCCAGTGGCACAACGGTATGTCTGCGGGATTCCGGGTTTCGATACCCGTTGTGGGCAGAGCACAGATAGCCCTTTGTGTAGCTTTGTGCTTAATTACAAACAACCCCAAATAGCTGTTGAACTATAATTGTGCAATAATTACTTTTGTATATATTTGTAATTAAATGGTCACAAATACACCAGCGGCAGTGAAAATCTTCGGAAGACTCAACATACATTAATTATTTTATTTCTACGTAAATATCATTCACATTAAAATAAAATTTAAATGCATTTAATATGAAAAACTGTATTTGGAGATGTTGTTGAACATTTTTGACTATTTTTAATATAAACACATGAAGAGATTACATACATTATACATTTAAGCGTAAATGATTTATTAAATAAGAAAAAATTATATCAGTGCTTTGCATAAGTTATACTTGTAAAAAAAAGAAATACCCAACTTTACAATTATTATATACTGTTCTCGCCGATAGATAAATATACGAATTCAGCTACTAACACTATAACAATCAATTCTTTAACTTTCTTAGCAGCAACATATAATTCTTTGCAGGAATTTTGTTTTTTTCTTCACCATATCTTTAATAAAGAGAATGGATGTTCAAAAGTTTGATATATTGTTTCGAAGTACTTTTCTAAATAAACCAGTTTCGGATAATACATCCTAAACTAGATGGGCCCAATGGATAGCATGTCTGACTGTGGATCTGACGTTCTGTGGTTTGCATTCCGTTAACGGGTGCGTTATAAGAGTCTTACAAGAGTTGCCGTCTCGTTTATCACTTTAAAACAAAAGACGACTAGTGCAGATAGCCCTCGACTAATTTTGAGTGAAATTCAACAAAAAGCTTAAACTTGGCCTCGTTTAATGAAGTATACAACCATACCATAAATAATTCTAAATAGGAAAGACGTTTATTATGAGATATATTTAAGTACAAACTAAACATGTCATTTATATTAGTCTTACAGTGAGATTCATTAAGCTCTAAGTAAGTATATGATCAGCTAAATTAATTTTTAAGTAAACTCACCATTAACTACAAGGACTCCGTCATTCTTGTCAATCATGTTCAACAGCACAGGTTTAAACTCGGTATCTTTGAGTTTTTTCAGATTATTTTTGGAAATGTTTAAAACTTTTGGAACTTGGTTATGGAAAGCCTCATTAGCTATGAGAATAATTTTATTATTGGAAATGTCCAGATTCAACAAATTATTGGGTTTCGACAAGTGAAAGGCATGGTTGTTCAGAACAGCCAGTTTGTTAAAACGCAAGTCGAGTTGCTCTAGACAAGGAAGATCCTTAAAGGCATATGATCCAATGTGGAATATCTTATTGAAGGACAAGTCGATTTTTTTTAGTTCAGGCACATAGCCAAAAGCAAAGTCCGGAATACGTTTTATACCGTTGTATTTCAGTTGTAGGTAACCTAGCTTTAGAAAATGCTGAAGATCTTGAAACGGAAAAGTTTCTAGATCATTGTGGATTATCTCAATTCGTTTTAAGCTTTCATTAGATTGACCAAAAGCTCCTTTTTCTACTTTTTTCAAAGTGGTTTTATAAACATAAATGTATTCAAATCTTATATTTCCAAATATTCCTTTAGATAACGTAGAAATATCAGAGTTTGTTAAGCTTAACTTTCCAAAGTCTGTGACAGGAAACCATGAACTGAAAATCCTATGGAGATCATGAAAGTGTGCCAACTCTTTGCAAGTTAAAATTGGAAACCCTTGGGAGCCACCACACTCACAGGGTGCTATATATATCCAGGATGGACACCAGGGTTTATTAGAATAAGGAAGCAAGGGGTTCTGTCTGCCTGTAGGGTCTCTCAGTAATTTTCGGTAAGATATTTCACTTGGTTCTGTACTGTTTTTAATTTTAAAAATGAAGTCATTTGCTGGTGGAATATCATTAACTCCAAAGACGACTGGAACGAAGTAGAACCAGGCAGGTGAAAACAGCACAAGCAGCAACATTAGGATTTTCAGTTGTTACGCAGTTTATGACTGTGTAGAAAAAAAATTAAACGAAAAGGTGTGTAATAAAGATGTTTAAAACATTTAACAAACACAATTGAAATACCTTGTTTTATTATGAGATCAAATCTTCCAAATTATCAAGTTAATCTGTCAGAAAATATAATTGAAATGAAACATATAAATATAAATTAAGAAACTTATCTTCTAATTCAGAGTTAGGCGTTAAATATTTTGTGGAAAAAAAGGTATAATTTTATGTCGCAAAGACCCAAACTTGCAGACTTGAAAGTTTATTTTCATTACCAGACACTAGTTATAAATGATGAATTTTATTCTGTTCTCTAGACGTTAACTGTAAATAATTCAATTCAGATGAGAATCAACATTCGCAGGCACTTTGGTTTCAAAGTCATTGTTGCCACTCCATAAGCAATTTCGTGTCAGTACGGAATATATCTGTGTATATACAAATCAAAAACATTGATATTTATTAACAAAAAAGAATATTCAAAATTAGATAATAGATAAATCTTTAATGCGCTGATTTTGTTCTGATACTATCTCATTCCAATTGTAGTTAGTCTCCCAGTGGGCCAGCGGTAAGTTTATGGACTTACAACACTAAACTCCGTGGTGGACAGCGTGAATATAGTCTGTTGTGTAACTTTACACTAAAAACAAGAAATCAAAAAGAAAAATGCAACTGGTTCCCTTGTTACGAGTAAAGATAGCATTTAAGGCTAGCCTCAAAATTGTCAAAGATCGTAGAAATAAATCATTATATCCTAGCTAATTTCAGCTACAAGTAAAATGTATTTTATTTTGGTGCAAATGTTTTGATCGCTATGGCCCGGCATGGCCAGTTGGTTAGGGCGTTTGACTCGCAATCTGCGGGTCGCGGGTTCGAATCCCCTTCTCACCAAACATGATCACCCCTTTAGCAGTAGGGACGTTATAATGTCACGGTCAATCCCACTATTCGTTGGAAAAAGAGGAGCCCAAAAGTTGGAAATTGGTGGTGATGACTAGCTCTTTCTCTAGTCTTTCCATACTAAATTAGGAACGGCTAGCGAAGATAGCCTTCGTGCAGCTTTGCGCGAAATTCAAAACAAATTTAGCGCTATTGTAAGAGATATTGAATTTTGCTTGGAAATTTGTTTTCTATCTGACGACAAGCATTGTTGGGTAACGGATTTTAGGTATAAACACAACTAAGTCCAACACTAAGGTTTTCTTAATAATTAATGTCAACTTTTATGTTTTCCTTTAATAAACATTGTATGAGATTCACTTGGAGTAGCTATTATATTATGCTTTCCGAAAAACACGCAGAACCACTTCGAAACAGGAAGCTCAAGGGTCATTTAAAAAAGGAACTGACGTCATTGTCAACTAGCGCGTGTCCAAGATGACGTTAAAAGGATTACCAAACAACGGTTTTGATATTTGATCATCTGACATTTTAAAGTGAAAGATAGGCTCATTTTTAGATGAACTCTTGATTAGACCTTACCCTAACAGATTTTAAACACAGGGAGTTATTTAAAATTATCACATACTTTTTTATTATGTATGGGAAATGAGCTTTAAATATTTGGTGATTAACTTGTAACATGCACATATAATGATTAACATGCATAAGTAAAAAATATTTACACCAGTAAAAGAAACAAGTAAGGACACATCACATAACTACTGGGACAATTACCGATTTCACAGGAAACGCTTCTCTCTAACGAAGTTAAACATTTATTTATGAAAGAAGAATGTAATAAAGAAGTCTAGGCTCTTTCAAAGGTTCCAAAGAAGGGAAGGTAGACTATTAAAATAGCTTTAATGCGACAACGGACAAATTTTCCAATTGTATACTCTGTAGGATCTACTTGCTTAGAAACAAAAATTAATTCATTTACGGTCCCTAGGGCTTAGTTTCTACAACCATAAATAATCACTAATATATAATTGGTGTGATCACCTCTTCAGAAATTCTCAATAATTTATTGATGTATATTCTATGAGGCTCACTTGTTAGGAAAGCCTAAAATTCATCCATTTGTTTAGGATAGCTGAAGTATTCATTAATGTACGATCTTTGGACCAGTTTGATCAAGAAGTTTAAATATTTAACTAGTAAGTTGTTCCTGGAACCAATTTCTCTTTTACCGCGAAATGGCAGCTAAAATGTAAAGCAGTTCTTATTTATTACATTTCAGACAATATGTTTTCAATATCACTTTAATGTTTCTTTAGTGGAAATACACACCTAACTAGCAAGTAAACTATCTAGAAATTCAGTGTGACACAATTAATCCTGATAAATTATCTAGCGATTCCGTATGACACAACTAATCCTACTAGACTATCTAGAGTATCAGTTTGACACAGAAAAACCCACTAAACTATCTAGAGATTCAATACGACACAAAGAATCCTACTAAACTGTCTAGAAATTCAGTCTGACACAACAAATTCTACTACAGTATTTAGAGATTAACTATGACTCAAATAATCACGCTAAAATATCTGAGGATTCAGTATAACACAACTAACCCCACTAAACTATTTAGAGATTTACTCTGATACAAATAATCCTACAAAATTATCTAGAGATTCAATTTGACACAAACAACCTTGCAATATTATATTGAAATCCAGTATCACACAACTAATCCTATCAAACTATCTAGAGAATTATTCTCCCACAACTAATTCTACTAGACTATAGATCGAGTATAACACCACTAGCTATTTTAAGATTCAGTGTAACACTAGTAACCCTACTAAATTTGCTCTGTAAGTAAACATGTAGGAATAGTCCCTTACCTGAACATAAGTTTTATGTAGGTCGCTAGATAGACACTGCTAGTTACTCTATGACTACGTTCCATATACTTTCCAAGAAAAGCGCCTGCTAGTTGTATCACTTTGATCTTGTGTGTACAGCTGTAGCTAGGCAACTGCCGGTACACTAGAATATGTACATCAATAGGCACTTGATATTTCAAACTAAGGTGATTTTTGCTCGCTGTTTGGTTCCATTTTATGAAGAAAAAAATTAATCTAACTGTATTGCATTAATTCACTTTTATAGATTACAGATGTGGAAGAAATACAAGCTTAATTAAATATAGAAACAGTTAGAAAAAACTGTACATAAACCATAGTTTGAACTAGTAAAAGAGAGCTCGTGTGTTTATTAATTTATTGTTAAGCACAAAGCTACGCAATGGACATTTTGTGCTATACCCAACATGGGTATAGAAACCTGTGTTTAAATGTTATAAGGTCAGAGAGGTAACTCTGAGCCATAGGGGGGCAAGTAAAAGATAGAACAAGGGGCAACGCTAAGAGAAAATGATAAACAGCACATAAAAGAATGTCTAGGAGAAACTTTAAACAGATTATTTAGTGTAGAGAGAAGAACCAGTAGGTAATGAAGTATAGACAGAGAATGTAAGAGGTGAAACGTGGAGCTTAGATATGGAATAAAATAGATAGAATGTTGAATATAGACAAAAATACAAGAGACGGAACGTGAAGTTTACACAGAGAATAAAACAGATAATCGTAGAGGGTATACAAAAAACACGGTAGTTGGAATGTCGAGTTTAGATAAAGAACAACGTAGACAGAACGTGGAGTATAGATTGAAAACAAAATAGACGGAGCGTAGGGTGTAGACTGACAACACACTAGACGAAACATGGAGCTTAGACAGAGAATACAGTAGACTGAACGCGAAATATAGTAATAGGCACAATAGACGGAACGTGGAGCTTAGACAGAGAACATAGTACACAGAACATGGAGTATAGATTGAAAGTAGTAGATAAAACGAGGAGTATAGACAGAGAATACAGAAGAGGGAACATGGAGTTTAGACAGAGAACACAGAAGAGGGAATATGGAGTTTAGATCGAGAATACAGAAGAGGGAACGTGGAGTTTAGACCGAGAACACAGAAGAGGGAACATGGAGTTTAGACCGAGAACTACAGTAGACGGAACATGGAGTTTAGACCGAGAATACAGAAGAGGGAACATGGAGTTTAGACCGAGAATACAGAAGAGGGAACATGGAGTTTAGACCGAGAATACAGTAGAGGGAACATGGAGTTTAGATCGAGAATACAGAAGAGGGAACGTGGAGTTTAGACCGAGAACACAGAAGAGGGAACGTGGAGTTTAGACCGAGAACACAGAAGAGGGAACGTGGAGTTTAGACAGAGAACAAAATAGATGGGACGTGGGATCTATACAGGGAACACAGTAGAAAGGACGATGAGTTTATATAGAAAACATATTTTTAAACACATATCTGTAAACTACTTATGCACCAACTTGCTTATCTTTTCATAGCTTTGTTGGTTACAGGGTATAACACGAGTCATAAAACTATGAGAATAAAACACCGACAATATTACCGTTACTTCCATTGATTAATTCTGGTTTTTTATATTTTTATATTCCGTAGAAAATGACTGATTTAATCTACTTTTTGGTCAATTCTTTACACTGATTGTTAAAACGACAAAAAACATAACATTACACAATATGATGAAATATTTGGATCCTAGAGATAGTGAAAGATGCATTAACTAGCCGACAAATTCAGGGCTAAAGTAAGTTATTTAGAAATGTAGAACATGCATATGACTTTTGATTTTCAAAAAACAATAGAAAGAAACTTTGCGCGTGTATTATTTGCTTTACAAAGTTCGACAGAGACACAAATATAAAGTTTTAATGTTTAAGATATTTCTTACTACAAACGAGAAAACAGCATACTTATAGATGTAGATATAGATAGTCAAAATGCAAAAAGCAAAAATATGAATTTTATCTCTACCTGACGTAGTGACCAAGTACCAATAATGTCGATCTACTCGAAAATTGCTGGGTACGTATTTCGGATTTATAGTTTATAATCTACTGCACACGTCCTATAGCTGTAGTGTTCTAAAACCTTCAACTCTCTGCCTATATCTAAACGCTTATACTTTTCCTGGAGCAATAAATATTTCTCATTTCACTCTTAGTGACTTTTGTAACATTCCAAACACGTTATGCATTTTTACATTACATATATTCCCTGCCTCGTCATTCTGTCCTGGACGTGAATAAACATTAACCTTAGGAACGTTTGTCGGCATGGAAATATATAAGTTTCATGTGAAAAGATATGACAAAGCATAGAATAGATACATTGTTCGTTGACAACATGTATCCTTGATAATCCCGTAGTATCAAACAGGATATATGTAAGTGTACTTAAATCGGACAGTACATTTTGAATTAATAACTTTTACCACGAGATACTACGTGAGTGGAAATATCTTTGAACTTGTACATTGTATAAAAATATCTAAATCAAATACAAAGTTTGTGGAATACATAGTAAATATGGTAATCATTGAAAGTAATGTAATCCCATCTCGATAAACCAACCTGTTCTAATTTGCTAATATTGCTTTACCCATAAAATAATCATAGCAATTGTTTTAGTAAATATTCACTGTAGTATTTCTTAATACATTTTCATAGGTGTATCTATCCGATGAGAGTATTACTGTACATGTAGAACTCAACTAAAAAAAATGAATTTTTTTAGTTAAGTTTCATAGGCGACAACAGGTAAATCTCAAACAATTAGGCTTGAGTTGTTCGTTGTCAAAACAATTATTATCGTTCTTGGCCATATCATCATGCTATCAACTGGTTAAATATAATCCGTAACGGAAAAGTCGACAGATTTTGATAGACTTTGCCATATTTTCTTTTCGTTCTATCGGTAAACAAACTGAAACGTTGGTTATTAAAAAACAAAAGTGGACATGATGGAGCAGCCCAAGCATTATATGAACATTAATATAACCAAGTAGCTTAGACCTGATTTTTACAATATTTGATTCGAAATCATGATTTGAACTATTTAATGGAAATATGTTTGTTGTTAAACACAAAGCTATATCATAGGTTATCTATGCTCTGCTCGTCGCGGATATAGAAACCCTATTTGAGCGTTATAAGCCCTTAGACTTAATGCTGAATCACAGGGTGGAGCATAGAAATATGATATTGTGACGGATTTGCTACTACATATTTATCTTAATATCGATGTTCGTTCGAATTAAGTTTATATTTAGAAATGTACATAACTTATGCTGTTATATATGTATTGCAAACTCCCGCCTATTCTTTGAAGTCGAGGAAGATTCTCGAGTGTAAAAATCAACAATATATGTGTATACGTAAAACCAAAATTTCGAGAAACTCTCAACACGCCTATAAATATAACCAACGCGATGCGCCAAAAAAAAAAGAAGAGTATCTACTATTGGTTTGTTACAATTGATGTGTTATAAACTTCGTAAGCTATAACTGTGATTAACGCTTATTAACCGGGAACTTTACATATATTGACCAGGAACGTTTATAAATTTCGAACATTACAAATCATTCAACATCAGTGGATTCAAATCGGACATTAGCACTTTTACGAAAACATTACCTAACGTCACCGGTAGGAAAAATCCGCGTGTGATCAGTGAAGACCACAGAGCTAGCTAGATCCCTATTAAGTGAATTGTACCTACATCAACTCGAAATTAACTAGCTCATCGTGAACCCCTCGATAACACATCAAGGAAGTTCTAGACTAGAAAGAAGACTTTATATTGCTTGTAAGTTTGTAAATCTTTTATATATAAATCATTGTTTGCAATAACTATTTGTAATAACCGTTATTGTAAATCGTATTATTGTTTGTATATTAAAACATATTTGTATCAAACAAAGAAAATTGTGTGTATCAGTCTTGTTGGCAAATATCATAAATTGGATACATATCGCCATTTATTTAACTACTAAATCCAAAGTACAATTTAATTCAGTTTTAGACCGTTCGAAATTTTAATACATAACAATACTCAACATCATATCATACAGGGTGCTTCTAAACTGAATAGAATTGCTAATTACATTCCTCAAAACTGATTTTGATAAACACTTGTTTTATTTGTTGAAAAACTGTGCCGATTCATGATTTATTCATAACTGAACATACCATACATATTCGAAAATCACAGAAAGAACAAAAACCACGGAGAAAAAAACAGAAGCAAAATAACTATAGATTATATTTGTTTTTGTTTTTTATGTGTGTGAGACAGGATTATACAGTGGTAAACGGCGTTAGAAGACGTGAACGACAGAGGAAGGAGGTCTATATATGCACAACTGTAGTGGTGGCAAAAATAGTGTAGATATTACAATCACGCTATATAACCATGTTGGCTGATTTTGATAAATGGATAGCGAGAGGTGAGAGACTTGGTCTAAATTCTAAAAGATAGTTACTAGAGTTTGTTAAACAACAAGAAATAGAAAGAGAAGAACGGCAACAGAAGAAAGAGGAGGACAGACAGAGAAGAGATTAAGAAAGACTAAAAGAAGAAAAGGAAATAGAGAGGGAGAAATAATAAGAATACAAATTGAGAAAGAAGAAAAGAAAAGGAGAGAGAGGAGAGACTGGAAATAGAGAGAATAAGAGCACAAATTGAGATTGCCAAGCTCACCTAACAGAAAGACGTCATGGATGCTTTCCTGGAGAGATATGAAAGATTCGTCCAAAGTTAGAACTGGGAAAAGGCAAATGGGCAGTATGTCTCAGCCCTCTTTTCACAGGAAAAGGCCTAGAAGTATATGCAGGCATGATATCAGAAGATGCCATGGACTATGACAGTTAAAAGTAGCTTTAATGAAGTGCTATGAACTTACCGAAAAAGGTTTTCATTGGAAGTTCAGAGAAGTCAAACCTGACACTGGAGAAATGGTATTTCAGTTTGTGGCACATCTACAGTGATACTTCATAAGATAAAGTGGCTACATTTTGAGGGACTGGCAGATGTGCCAATACCGGAACAGTTCATGATCAACTGACATGTCAGTGGTCCAAAAGGAGAGAGCACCAAAAGATGTGGACGAGATGGTCAAGCTGACAGAACCATATATGGAAATCCATGGAGTGAGTATAATTGGCAAGTCCAAGAATAACCAGTTAAAGTCGAAACCAATGGTGGTTGACCAGAAGCAGGAGTCCACCAAAGGTGACAGGAGGTTAATAAACAAATGGGAGAAGAGATTCTATAAAATAGGGCATATTGCAAATTAGTGTAAGTCTGGCAATAACAAGCAACAGCAGAAATCTCAACATAAAGCAGCTGGAGCCACCTACAAAGATGTTGCTGCCAAAAAAACAAGATAAGAGTGACTATCACCATGGATGTTGCTGCTAGAAGAAACAGAATAGCGACAAACCATCAGGTTCACCACTAGAAGTAAGTGATATTTTCATGATATATCAGTGCACTACTAATGGCTAGCTCAATTTAACAAACGGGACAACAGTGCCTATGGTGAATGGAGCATGTTACAAACATCCAAAAGTGCAGGTAAATCACAACATGCCAGTAGACGAAGGCTATGTTGGGGCAAGAAAGTGAACGTCCTACGAGACATTGGATGCAGTAGTACAGCAGTGAGAATCAGTCTTGTATCTGATGGCCAGATGACAGGCAATGTACATCTTTGTGTGCTGATTGATGGAACAATGAGAAAGTTTCCCATAGCAAGAATAAAGGTGGACCTCTGTACTATGTGGGAGATCTTGAGGCCATGTCTATGAAGGCACCCATCTATGAGTTGGTGATTGGAAATATACTAGACAGTCTAAGTTTGGAATAACCAGACAGAAATAAAATGGATTAAGCATCTGCAGTCACAACTAGAGCCAAAGAAAAGAACTGCAAGTAAGATATCGAGCCCCAGCAAGTATCAAAATGTGACATCCTGAATGTAAGTCTGCAGCAATTGAAGTCTGCAGAAGAAAGACTCTTCACTGCAGAAACTTTTGGACAGTGCCCAGGAGAAAGTCGAGCACAAGATAAAGGGGGAAAGAGACTTACAGAATAAATGATCAGAATAAAGGCTGTACCAGATCTATCAAGGCAAATATACTGGACAAGTTAAACAGAATATCGAACTCAAATAATGAAGCTAGCTGACCAGTCGATTGTAGGAGGACATCTAGGAGTAAAAAAGATGGCAGACAGAATCACCAGTAACTTCCTTTTGGCCGGGGGTCATTGGAGAAGGGAGCAGATCCTGTAGGTCATGTGACGTCTACCAAAGGACAATACCTAGGGGAAAGGTAGCCAAGGTGCCATTGGGTGAAATTCCTCTCATAAAAGAGGCATTAAGCAGAATAACTGTGGACTTGATTGGACCACTAGCATCTGTTTCTGACATGGGCAACAGGTATGTGCTGACAGTAGTCGACTATGCAACATGTTACCCAGAAGCCATAGCACTGCCGAAGATAGAGATAGAGAGAGTAGCAAAAGCCCTCCAGGAAGTGTTCTGCAGAGTAGGCTTTCCAAAAGTAGTCCTGAGTGACAGAGGGACCCGGTTTACTTCAGAACTTATGCAACCCTAGATGTAATGGATTTTGTGAGAGAGGTAATGGAATCGTAAAGAGCATGTTGAAGAAGATGTGCCAAGAGAGACCACGTGACTGAGACAGATACCTGCAAGCAGTATTATTTGCTTATCGAGAAGTCCCATAAGCAAGTACAGGATTTTCAACCTTAGAGTTACTGTATGGAAGAACAGTACGAGGTCCTATGCAGATATTGAAAGAGCTATGGGCAGGAGAAGAAGAGTTAGAAGTGAGGAACACATACCAGTATGTGTTAGACCTCAGAAACCGACTGGAGGAGACCAACTTGGCCGAGAAAACATGGATGCTGCTCAAGGAAGTCAGAAGCCCTACTATGACAAGAAGGTAAAGAATTGATGTCTCGCGGTCGGACAGAAGGTGTTAATTTTCCTACTCACAGACAGCAACAAACTCCCCTTGCAATGGAAAGGAGCTTTTGAAGTACAGGAAGTGGTCAACGGGATGAACTATAAGGTGAAAGTGGATGGGAAGACCAAGATCTACCATGCTAATATGTTGAAGAAGTACTTTGAGGCTGAGGAAGACATAATAGGTACAGCTATTGAGGCACAGATGGATGTTGCAGGTGTGGCTGTCATAGACACAGAACCAGAAGATGGTGACTT